TTTAAGGCTGACTTTTTGTCCCCTGCTAGACGGGAGGGTCTTGCAGTCAAGCTCCCTTCTGCCTTTACACTCGAGGGCCAATCTTCGTCCGGCCCGAGGAAACCTTTGCACACCTCTGTTACCTTTTGGGAGGCCTACGCCTCATAAAAACTGTCTACTTGAGACTGTCCCTTGGCTCGTAGGTCCTGACACAAGGTTAGGCCAATTCAGATTATTCTAATATTTTCTTGATGCATGTATTGTTTGTTTTGCGTGATTACAGTTAAATTATGAATCTGAAAATTAAATGCAAACAGAAAATTATTTGATTAAGTGAATGGACGAATAATAACCTTACTGGATATCGTGAGAGATAGTGGACGGATCGGGTGCATAAAGAACTATACCGTGAATGTTACCTCATATCGAACGGGGTATCAATAATTGGTATTTTGGCGCTCATATCGGACAACGTATGAGGACAACCCGTTTCATCCTCATACCGGATGAGGTATTGAGGGATGGTATTTTGGCGCTCATATTGAATGGGATATAGGGACGATCGATTTGTCAAAAATGTTAAATAAAGGTTCACGCATAGTTGAGACATCCCTATGAACTCCCATGGATACCAGTAGCTAAATAAAAGAGAAAGTTATTATTTCGAATGTTTGAATATGAGATTATGATAATCATTTTGTTATTGTCTCTATATGGCAGTTTTGAAAATTTCGCTATGTAAGTGTACAATAAATGATTTTATTTATGATAAATAAATTTACTTAAATTAAGAGCTCTATTAGTTGTTTTCATGATTTTTACCAACCTTCATTTCTGTATCGGTGAGTAGTGTATCATTCTTATTGGGGTAGTGTAACTCACTCTTTCATTAACAATTTCATATCAAGATAACTAAGATTCAGATCTTGATCCACAAGAAGATTGCGAATAGGATGTTCAATTATTTACTTTTTCATTTATTTCTTCGATTTTTTATTTTTTATTTAGAAAAATCATTCTCATAATCCTATTGGGTATTCTGAATTATTGTGTAAGGAATATAAACACTAAAGTTATTATTTTACTTATGCATTCAAATTTATAATTTATTTCCTTTTAAGTTTCAGATTGTTACAGTTAGAGTATTTCTAGATTATTTCTAATTGATTTTTAAAAAAATTCAAAATAATGATTTTAATTAATTAATTAATTAAATCGATAAATTAATAGTATTACTAGAAATATTTTTTATTAATTTAATTAATTAATCAAAATTATTTTTTAAAATATTTTTTTATTAGTTTAATTAATTATCTAAAATTATTTTTTAAAATATCCATGAACTAACATATTTTGTTTTTTTTTTTGGTTAAAAAATAAAAGAAAATCTTATGTTTAAAGCAGATAAAAAACTTCAAGGATTACATGTAACAAATAAATTAAATATTAAAATTTAACGAGTATTAAATTTTGAAGACTAAATTAACAACTTATTAGATAAAAATCATAAAAATAAAAATAAAATATATTAATTATATATATATATATAGAATGTACTAACTCATATAAGCTTTTCCAGCTTCTGATATTATTTTTTCTCGCTGTATTTTGTAGATTAATCAATAACTCTTCCTTATATATACCCTCAATATATGTATATATAATTAAGTCAAATTAAAATAATTGTGTTCCAAAGTATGTATATGCATGATCAAATCCCCATTCATAAGTCGGCTAACATAAAGTCTTCCTTTGTATCTTAAAATATAATTTATCATAAGCTAATTAAAAAATTTCTTACAACAAACATTTTATTTAGTATATATCTAGACTAGTTATTAAATTAATACAAACTTAGATGTCTACCTACACACACACACACACATATATACCCTGAATTATAATTTTCTTTCTTTTTTAGTTATTTATTGCCCCACCTTCCTATTAATTAATTATTATAGAATTAATTAATGACTTAGTCCCCTAATCCATAATAATTAAACAATTAACAACTATAAAATATTTCAAGAACATAAATGAATTATTCATCTTGTAACTGATTAATTTAAATTTTTTTCAAAAAACAATGTTTAAGATGAATTAATCAGAATTTGTCAACCCATGTCACCTTGTAATTAGTCTTATATGACACATGAATTATAAACAACTTAATTAAAAATTAATTACATCAATTGAAAAAAAAATATATATATATATATAATCTTTTCTATTTTACATCGAAAATAAATGTAAAAACTCATTTGAAAACCAGCAAAAGGTAAATTGAAATTTAGACCTTGTCGTCAAAATCTCCAATTGGGTGATTATTAGAATGATTATTAACCCTTCTTACCCTCTCACAGAGTAAAATCATCCCGAACCACATCATGCCTTTCACCAATCGAACCATCCCAATCGTCACAGCCAGGTAATACAACCACCACCCAACAAAGTCACCTACTCCGATTCCCATTCCCAGATCCTTCTTAACTTCCGCCACGATAACCAGCGCCTCCACCTCGTCCCGCAACTTCCAACACCACAGCCCCCCCAAGCTCATCGCTACCGCCACCCTCTCCGCCCACCGCTCCGCCCCACGCGCCCCAAATATCGTGTCGTCCACCACCGGCTTCACCACCGTCCGATACCATAGAACCGCTATCTCATGCAGACCCAGAAAAAATATAATCCGGCTCAGTAAACCTCTTTTAATACCAATGTCGGAGCCTTCAACTCCTGCTTCTATGCTACCTTCGATGCCTAAACCTACGCACACTTGTAATGTACAGAGCAAAATCCATCCTGCGTATAGATGAGGTCGGTCAACTCGGCCAGGTGATGACTCGTTGATGAAAGTGATCTTGCCGGTCAAGCCGTGGACAAGAGTGGCGAGGGTGATGAGTGAGACCAGAGCGTAAAGAAGAGCTGAGTAGTTGGTGTAGAGGAAAAAATAGAAGAGAAAGGTATGAGGGGAGGAGGGTTTTGCTGAGGTGATGGTTAGGAGAAAGTGAGCGGAGGATAGTCTTGCGAGAAGGAGAAAGGAGAGAGGAAGCAAGAGACTGAGGAGGACGATGGTGATGATTTGAAAGGGAAAAATTATCAGTGTCTCGGATCGTTCTTTCCAGTTTAGCCAACCCATTTTCCTTTTTTTTGTTAGGGGACAAACTGATCTGATCAAGCAAAAAATTTGCTTATAATTACTGATAAATAAAACTCTTTTCTGTGTTAGACGACAAAAGAAGATAAGTAGAAGGTGTATATATGTGAAATGGAGTTGCAAGGAAGGAAAGCAGAGTGGTTGCCACGTCCATAGTTTAAGTTGGTTGACATAAGGACATGGTCTTCATTACAAAGGAACATATATACAGACATATTTACTTATATATATATATATATATATATATATATCCATAAGTATGTTTATTTTTATATTATATACATAAAGAAGAAGTCCCTTTTCTTTTTCTGCTCGAGCGGAATCCAACATGCTTTAATTAATATAATAAGATGTAGTTAATCATGTTATATATGTATGTATTTATATATAAATATACGATGTACTTCTTGAAAAATGCAGCTGCTGCATGCGGCCTGATCTGGGTCATTTGTCTAAAGGGTGTAATTGGCTTTTGCGTTGCATGTTTATTAGTTTAATAACAAAACGTTGCTTGTTTTGGAGAGAAAGGTAAGCATAATATATATATATATATATATATATATATATATAAAGGGGTAGACCTTTTTATATATCAAAGAAAAAGGAAATTTCAAACAGATAATGGTCCCATTCCTTGTAATTTCATTCGTATAATATGTATTAATTACATTTGGAATTTTCTTACATGCTTAACATTAATAGGACAATTGAGATACATAATAAAAAAAACATGCAAATAAATAGTGAAGGTGAAATGAAGAAATGCAAACGAGCTCTTGTGAGATTGCAGGAGGAAGAAGCTGTGATGAAAAAGTTTGGTAGATTGGGTACTAAGTTAATGATGATACTGTAATAACTGGGATTTTGGGTTGTAAAAAAAAATGATAATAATAATAATAATATATATATATGTACGGAAGAGGGAGAGGGGTGAGAAGGAACGGTGTAGATTGTGAGATGGAATGGACGGCTAAGATGATTAGTAGGTGGGGTATAAATAGGATGAAGAAAAAAAAAAAGAAAAAGGGGAAAACAAGAAGGGAAAATAGGAGACTGGTGATAGAAAATTCGAGAGAGAGAGAAGCAGGAGAAGGAAGGGACGAGAAGAGAGGAAAAGAGGAGTTGGTCGAGGACGGGAGAGAGAACTAGAGGAGGAGGAGATGATTAAGGCGATTGAGTGAGCTACAGTGGTGCGGAAGACGATGGAGATCGGAGGTATTGTGAATTTGAATTTCAAACATGGAAATGGTAAATTGTAGTTAAACTTGTTATCTAGATATGTATACCGGTGGATTGAATTCTAGCCGAGAGGGAGAAGATCAACGAAGATGAGCTATAGAAGGGGCAGGACTTGTAGAGAGAATTAGTAGAGGAGTGAATAGGGAGGGGAAGAACGGATAGGCGAAAGTGTGGTGAAACAGTACAAGAGGTACGAATGGGAGTGCGAAAGAGAAAATTGGATAGCTCTAAACTTCGGTGTATATGTATGTATATATAAATATATGTATCCGAGTGTCAACAGAGGGAGAAGAAGTGTTAAATTTAATGATTTTTTCTGTTGAGTTTAAATTCAAAAAAAGAAAATCTACCGTGAAGTTGTTTCACAGAAGGATACGTAAAATTCCATGCGATGTGTATGCATGATTTTCGGTCGATCTGATTTGATCGGTTGGTTGATGTAATCTGGTTTTGATCAGTTGGTTGATGTAATCTGGTTAAATTTGTATTTATATATATATATATGCTGAAATAAAAAGAAGATATTACTTCTTCTCTCCAAAAAAGGGCACGCCTCTTCAAAACAGCAAAATAGAGGCAGTTGCATAAGCTTGCTCTGTTTTGCTGCCCTTTCTCTCCTCAACTTTCTCTCTCTAAGTTTTCTCATTCACAGAGCCTCCTTTGAAGCTTATTCGCTTTCGATCAACAAGTGGTATCAGAGCTGTTATCTTAAGGGACCGGTAAACCAATATACCCTCAAAAAACCCAATGACATCCACTGGAACAACACCCCCTCCACACTTTAATGGAGAAAACTACCATGTATGAGCAATCAAAATGAGAGCCCATCTGAAAGCCTTAAGTCTGTGGGATGTTATTCTGGATGACAGTGATCCTCCTCCACCAGGGGACACTGCCACTATAAACCAAATCAGAAGGCACGAAGAAGATAAAGCCAAGAAACCAAAGGCAATTGCTTGCCTTTTCTCGGCCATTTCAGATAGGGTATTTTCAAGGATTATGAACTTCGAATCACCAAAGGCTACTTAGGAGAAACTTAAGGAAGAGTTCGATGGGGGAGTCAGAAGCAGGAAGGTAAAAATCTTGAGACTGAAGAGTGAGTTTGCATTACTCAGAATGTAGGAAAATAAATCAGTGAAGGACTATGCATCCAAACTCTCGGACGTGGTAAACAAAATGAGACTGCTTGGGGAGGATTTTTCGGAATCAAGGGTAGTAGAGCAAATTCTTATCAGCTTGCCCCCCAAATTCGAGTCTAAAATCTCAGCCTTGGAGGAGTTTGCAGACATTGAGACTATCTCCTCGGCTGAGCTGATAAACAAGCTTCAATCCAGTGAGCAACAGGTAAATATGCATGTTCGACAACATACAGAGGAAGCCTTAATTTCAACTCAGAACAAAGGCAGCTCTTCAACACAGATTCAAGGAAAAAGGAGTGAATGGAATCAAACTGGAAACCAAAATCCCAGTAAACAAAAGAAATATTCTGAGTGCAGTATCTGTTCCTTGACAAATCACTCAGAAAATGAGTGCTAGTACAAGGGAAAGAAAACAGTTCGGTGCAATTTTTGCAAAAGGCTTGGTCACAAGGAAAATTTTGTAGACAGAAACAGAAGCAGGAAGGATCACGACCAAAGTAGGAACAACTGCAAGCCAATATCACCAATGTGTCATGTGAGCCAAGTGACACAATTCTTGTTGCGCTAAGTAAGCTGCCAATGGAGGATGATACTCTCTGGGTGGTGGACAGTGGATGCACCTCCCACATGTGCAAGGATGAGGGCTTATTCGCATCACTTGACAGAACAATCACAGGCCAGGTCCGACTTGGAAATGGTATGCTGGAAACCATCAAGGGCAAAGGCAACATAGCCACTGAAACCAAGGAAGGTAGGAAACTTATCACTAATGTAAATTTTGTTCCTACCCTCTCACAGAATCTTCTCAGTGTGAATCAGATGACTGATCGAGGCTACTCGGTGGGATTTAAGGATAACTGCTGCAGGATATATGATCATGAGGATCGCTTGATTGCTTTCATCCAAAAGAAGAATCAAGTTTACTCATTGAAACTCAGAGAAGTAGTTGAGAGGGCCAGTGTTGCCTCTTTAACTGAAGGTGAGATTTGGCACAGGCGCCTTGGGCATTTTCATGCGACTGGGCTACAACAACTGCAGAAGGGAGGTCTAACCAAGGACTTCCCAAATATTGCAGTCACTAAGATAGTATGTGGTGCATGTCAGATGGGAAAATTGGCAAGGAATTCATTTCTTTCGCAAGCAGATTGGAGAGCAAAAGAGAAGCTAGCACTTATCCATTCTGACATTTGTGGTCCAATGACAGAAAACTCCATGAGTGGTTGCAGGTATTTTAGCTTGTTCATAGATGATTTTTCCAGGATGATTTGGGTTTGTTTCCTGCAGAATAAAACTCAAATTTTAGGTGAATTCAAGAAGTTCAAGGCTATTATAGAGAAGGAAAGTGGCAGTGTACTGAGGTGCCTAAGGACATATAATGGGCTTGAATTCAATTCCAACCAATTCAATGATTTCTGTTCTGAGAATATGATCAAAAGGCAGCTCACGACACCATATTCTCATCAACAAAATGGTGTCTCAGAAAGGAAGAACAAAACCATTGTGGAAATGGCAAGAAGTATGCTTATTGACACGCACCTGCCTAAAGCCTTGTGGGCTGAGGCAGTGAACACTATTGTGTTCCTGCTCAACATGCTGCCTACAAAGGCTATAAAGCATATGACACCGGCGGAGGCCTGGAGTGGCATCAAACCATCAACTAAGTATCTAAAGGTGTTTGGATCCGTGTGCTACTGCCATGTCTCGGATGACAGGAGATCCAAGCTAGAAATGAAGGCTGAATTGGGAGTATTTTTGGGATACAGTACTGAAGCAAAAGCATATAGAATTCTAAACCTGAAAACCAACAAGCTTATGATTCAAAGAAATGTAACGGTGGATGAAAACAGCTATTGGAATTGGGAGAAGCAAAAAGTCGAACGAGACTGTGTCACAGTTGAAGAAGGAAAGAAATCAATGACAGTATCAAACCCAACTCAGAGTGATGAACAAGATGAAGAAGATGAAGAAGGTGAAGCAGAAGAGAGAATAAAAATGAAAAGTCTAACTGACATCTATGAGAGGTACAACTTTGCCTCAAAAGAACCTTCCTCTGTTGAGGAAGCACTTCAGCAGCAAGAGTGGAGACTTGCCATGGAAGAGGAAATCAAGATGATCGACAAAAATAATACTTGGTCTCTGGTAAAATCAAGTACAAACAAAAAACCTATTGGAGTAAAGTGGGTGTTCAAAGTGAAACTCAATCCAAACGAGACAACAAACAAGCACAAGGCACGGCTTGTGGCAAAAGGGTACTCCCAGCTTCTAGGAATCGACTACACAGAGACCTTTGCTCTTGTGGCCAGATATGAAACAATTAGACTCATTCTGGCCATGGCAGCTCAGTTTAGTTGGAGTGTGATACATTTGGATGTGAAATCGTCCTTCTTGAATGGCAAGCTGAATGAAGAAATTTATGTTGAGCAGCCACCAGGGTTCATTCAACCTGGAAAGGAGAGACACGTCTATCTTCTTCACAAGGCCCTATACGGCCTCAAACAGGCTCCACGAGCCTGGTATGATAAGTTAAATACATACTTACTCCACTGTGGGTTTGAGAGGAGCATGACAGAAAATACACTGTATGTGAATAGAGATGAAGATAGTCTTATCACTGCAGTATATGTTGATGATATACTGGTGACAGGCAGCAACAAAAGGAAAATGATAGAGTTCAAGCTGAAATTGGAAAAAGGAATTTGAGATGTCTGATCTTGGGGAGGCTACCTACTTCCTGAGAAATAGAGATTCATCAAAGCAACCTGGGTATTTTTCTTTCACAAGGCAAGTATGCCAAAGAAATTCTAAATAAATTCAACATGAATCACTGTAAATCAGTATCT